CGGGCGCGACACTGAGGGTTGCGATCCGTTGCCGGACACGAAAAAAGACAAAAAAAAAAAAAAGAAAAAGACTTTAACAAAACCTGCTTCCAGATATACTCACACAGCTAGGAAATATGTCTCCAGGGGGATGCTGATTTTGCTTTCCAGGCAGTTCTTTCATTTAGTGAGATACTGCATATCCCCCAGCTGAGAAAGCGTGCTTCCCTTCTTCGCCAGGTTCCCATCCCTGCCACCCCAGCCCTGGATCCCCTGAGGGTGCTGACGGACGACGCCGCCGTGGCCGCCTGGCAGAACGAGGGCCTCCCTGCGGACCGCATGTCTGTGGAGAATGCCACCATCCTCAGCAGCTGCGAGCGCTGGCCGCTGCTGGTGGACCCTCAGCTGCAAGGCGTCAAATGGATCAAAGCCAGACATGGCGAAGACCTCCGGGTCACCCAGATTGGTCAGAAAGGGTAAGCGGCTGAGCACGGAAGCTCCTGCTTTGGCTATTTGTGCAGGGGTGAGGGGGGGATGGTATATGCAGATGTTAAGCCCCAGTGGAGTGTTTCTACCCTTCTAGTATCTCCATGAGGTTCCTCCTGGCATTTTAGGAAACATGTCAATGAAAGATGCCTGGGTCCTACGTCTTTGCTTTTCTTTCTCATTGGAAACCAGGTGCTGCAGCCTTTCCACCCATTCAGGGGTCCTTTCTCCACCATCCCTGAGGCTCATCCTCCCATCTCTCCTTACACACCTCCTGCCACCCTTCACATCCCACTGTTGACAACTCTGTTTTACAAAGTCTTCCTCGCATTTAGCCAAAAGCTGCCTCGCTCAGCTCTCTTATACCCATTGTCCCTACCTGTCTCTGCCCTAGAGCCACACAGGTGAATCTAAACTCTCTTTCTCCTGAGCCTCCATCACACATTGCAGTGGGTCGTGTAGTGGCTGAGTTAGTTATGAAACCTTCGGAGCCCTGCCTACATGCCCTGTGGCTTTGTACACACATGAAGGGACAGTTGCTGCAGGAAGCCCGTGAATGGCACAGAGAAGGTCTTCCCGGCACCCACAGACTTCAGCAGCCTGGGCCTCAGCGTCTCTCACCCACTGCCTCGTTAGCCCCATTACAGCTTAGCTTTGCAGTTTCAGTATTTCTTCTGTGCCGTGAGGACACACGACGGGGACAGATGATGCAGTGGGGGAGAGGAAGAGATGCAGACATCATTCATTAGGTGCCAGTCTGCGTGTTGGGGCTTTATCCCAAATGCTTTCTTTAACCCACACAATCAGTAAGGTTACTGTGATTGGTTCCATTTCACATCTGTGCAAATTGAGGTTCACAGAAGTTAAGTAATTTCCCCAAGAGTACCCCATTTTAAAAGCAATGGACAGTTTACACTCATGTTCACAGCAGCACTGTCCACAGTAGCCAAGAGGTGGAAGCAACCAAGTGTCCATTGACAGAGGAATGGACCAACAAAACATGGTATACACATTCAGTGCAATCTTACTAAGTCTTAAAAGGAAGAAAATTCTGACACATGCTATGATGTGGATGGACCCTAAAGATGTCATGCAAGTGAAACGAGCCAGTGGCAAAAAGACAAATACTGTATGATTCCTGTCATATGAGGTCCCTGGGGTAGTCAAATGCACTGAGAAAGTAGAATGGTGGCTGCCAGGGGCTGGGGGATGGGAAATGGAGAATTAGCATTTAATGCGAACAGAGTTTCAGTTTTGCAAGGAAATGAGTTCTGTGGGTGGACGGTGGTGATGGCTGCACAGCAATGTGAGTGTACTTAATGCCACTGAACTGTGAGCTTAAAAATGGCTTATATGGTAAATTTTGTGTTTTTTACTACAGTTAAAAATACATTGATTAATTTTTTAAGCAATGGAGGTGATATTTGAACCCGGGTCATCCTCACCTAGAAACCTGAGATTTATCCACTCTAACATGTAGCCACCAAAGTGGCATTTGCTGCCCTCTTCTCATGTCCCAAGCATGCTTGCCCAGAGGTTCAGGTCACCCAGGGTTGTCAAAATCAAAACTGCAATATTAAAAATGATCATTAAACAGAGCAAATATTGAATACTAGAATGGATCCATCCTATGAGAAATGTATGCCAAGATATGACATGATACATTTTTATCTGCATCGTCAGTCACAGATAATCTAACCTTGGCCTTTTCCTCAAACTTTGAAATATTCCTCTCTAGCTACCTAATAAATGGATTTTGGATGGAAGAGTGTGTCCTTTTTGCTCATTGCTCTGTCCCTAGTACCTAAAACACTGCCTGGCACATCATAGGCCCTCAATAAATATTTGTTCAACTAATTCTCTGTTCATGTCTATTGGCTGCCCTTCTATTGGGTGGTTTTCTAGATCTGCTGTTTACTATTTGAATATAAGTATTGCATTATCTATAATATGTATGGTCTTCTTTTGTCATATGATTGAAATCCAGTTACTTTAAATATATGTTAAGGTACTATATGAGGTACAGACTAATTTCTAAATGGTTACCTGCTGTTCAATACCATCTATTAGATTTTCTGTTCTTTCCTCAATTAATTAGAGGTGCTATTTTACTATACATTAAACTATTTTCTTAAGTAGGGTCTTCATTTTTTTCTATTTATCTACTACCGTACCATCCTTTAACTATTTAGTTCTATATTTAGTAACATTTATTGTGGTATTTCTCATTACAAAAGTAATATATCATCATTGTAAAAAAAAATGTGAAGGGAAAGGATTTGCACAAAAAACAAAGAAATAAAAACATAATTCACCATTCAAAAACACCACTAACTTTTTGGTATACAATGTTCTTTTTTTTTTTGTCTTTTATCTTTTTCCGTGTCCGGCAACGGATTGCAACCCTCAGTGTTGCCCCCGTACCGGACCGGGGACCGTGGGATCCGAACCCTCGGGCGGGAGCGCCACCGCGCTTCCCGAGCGGCGCACTTATCCAGTGCGCCACCGGGCCGGCCCGGTATACAATGTTCTTTAAGACTTCTTTTTACACATCTGTATTTTAAAGTTACATAAAAAAAATTTAGTACTAAATAATATGAGTTTCTCTTCTTCTTCACTATTGTTTTTTTTTCTTTATCATCTTTCTCATTATATCCTTTTAGATTAACTTAAGGTCTTTGGTCAAGTTCTGTAAAGTTTCATTGTTATTTTTTGTTTGAATTGGAATGACATCAAACCTATAAATTGATTTAGGGAAAATCAACCTATTAATATGTCTATTAACCTCTCCATAGCAATGAAAAGTTAAAAGTAACCTAGATCTTTGTTGATTGGTAAATAAATTAAGGTGTATCAATGTGGTATAATACTCATTCATTAAAAATTATTATGGAAGAACATTTAATGACATGGGGGAATGTTTACAATGCATTTTATGTACAAAAACTATGTTATAAAACAAAGGTGCCATATGAATCCAGTAATATAAAAACTGTATTTGAAAATATATCCAAATACACACAGTAAATACCAAAACTTTCATGAAGGACAGATGGAGAGATTAGGGTTAATTTTTATATTCTTTTTAATATTTTATAATTTCCCCCATTTCTAAAAACTGTATATTATTACATAAATATAACTTTAGAGAAAAATGCGACCACTGAGGACATTCCACACAGCTGTGCCTCCAAGTTTACCATGGTGCTTTAGAGGACATGGTTGTCTTGTTAAATTGACTCTGAATTCACACCTTGCCACAGGCTCACACTGCCCAACTTGCCCCTCCAGCTACCTTCAAACCATCGAGCATGCCCTGGAAGCCGGAGATGTGGTGCTGATTGAAAACCTAGAGGAGTCCATTGATCCTGTTCTAGGACCCCTGCTTGGGAGAGAAGTCATTAAAAAAGGACGGTAAGACCCAGCTCTGTTGCTGACCCTTTGTGAGGAGCTGGTTCACAGCCCCGGCTAGAGCTGTGGAGAGGTCTGCTCTTCCCAGAATTTCCTCTCCTCAGCACATCCCAAGCAGCTCCCTGCAGCATGCACACCTTTCTTTCTTCTAGCTATGAGGCTGCCCTCACCTCCTAGAGAAAGTTTCCTGGAATAACTTTGCTTTCATCAGTCAGCCTCTCCTCAGCACATCCCAAGCAGCTCCCTGCAGCATGCACACCTTTCTTTCTTCTAGCTATTAGGCTGCCCTCACCTCCTAGAGAAAGTTTCCTGGAATAACTTTGCTTTCATCAGTCAGTGTCCTCATGGACTTCCTTCTAAATGGCCCCATGCACAACTTTGGAGGAACTTTAGAAGGAAAGTGACCAAAAAGCAGACTGACTTTTCAGCATGGGCATTTTATCCAAGCCAGACATTTGAGTTCTGAGAACTCGGCTCCTTGTCAATTTGATGCGCCTCTGCTGCTTTGGGTACTGGTGCATGATCAGAACGTAGCAAGTGTATGTAAGAGGACCAGGAGGGGCAGAGAGGAAAAGAGGAAGGAGCGGGCAGTCGGTACCTGCGCTGGGGAGTGGTAATTATCACGAACTGCTGCTTGACTCAGGAGACTCACCTACTGCCCAGGTTTGAAGTTGCCTTTACATGTCTCTAGATTGTGCTCATTTACTTGTTTAATCATGTTCACTGACAGAAGTCATTCCCCTGTCGGCCATGAGATAAAGTAAGCCCCATTGCTAACCCGTAAAGCACCTTTGTGAAAACTACAAGGTGTCCCTTCCTCCAAGCACTTTACTGCCATCTGCTGGAAATTTTTCATAATATACTAATCTACATTGACTACGATGGGAATGGCTCTCCCTAGAGTTCCCCAGTGCAAAATCCAACATGGTGGCTAATGGGAGAAAAATCTATCCTCCTCCACACCTGTCCCCTACCATAGGACAAAGGAGGATCCTAGAGCTCACACTAGACATGCTTAGGAAGAATCTATCTGAATATGGAAATATTGTTTGCTATGGTTGTGGAAAAAAAAATAAATCTAGAATTCTGTCCCTGACCAAATCTCTCAGGAAGGCACCCCATCGTTTCATGAGGCTTTGTGTTCTAGGTTCATTAAAATTGGAGACAAAGAGTGTGAATACAATCCCAAGTTCCGGCTCATCCTTCACACCAAGCTGGCCAATCCTCACTACCAGCCAGAGCTGCAGGCTCAGGCCACCCTGATCAACTTCACTGTGACCAGGGACAGCCTGGAGGACCAACTACTGGCTGCTGTGGTCAGCATGGAGAGGCCTGACCTGGAGCAGCTGAAGGTGCGTGGGGTGTTCACTGAGGAGAGGAGGAGGAAAATGCTCTGCCATTAATCCTGAAGTGCACCCCACTGGCGAGGGAGGATGGTGTGTTTTTCCCAGAGCTGAGTATGGTGGTCTCTGCAGACTTGGAAGAGCACCATCCTCAGCTAGCTGCCTGGGAACAGAACATTAAGAAAGGGAGGATAGGGTGAGCTGAAGAACAGACACAGAAGACAGCTGGGAGAATGGACACTCCTGTGGCCAAGAGCTGCCTGGCACAGGGCTATGAAATCAGGGCTTCCGATCACACATGACCACATGCCTACAACCAAAACTAAATGGAATGAAATTCTGCAAGGGTAATAGAAATGGGTTCAACCATACTAGGGTTCTGACTTTGTCAGCACACGCTGCCATAACAAAATGCTATAAATGTAGACGCTCAGAGCAGACTATTCTCGGGTTAGGCCTAAACAAACAAATGTCTGTGGGGTCAGAGTCTCTTCCCCTAGAGATAGTAAATGGGAGGCAAATAGAATGAAATTCTGCAAGGGTAATAGAAATGGGTTCAACTGTATTAGGGTTCTGTCTTTGTCAGCACACGCTGCCATAACAAAATACTATAAACTGGGTGGCTTGTACAACCACCCAGACATTTATTTTCTCACAGTTCTGGAGTCTGGAGGTCAGATCAGGGTGCCAGTGTGGTTGGTTTCTGGTGAGGCCTCTCTCCCTGGTTTGCTGACAGCCACTTTCTCACTGTGTCTTCTCATGACCTCTTCTTTGTGCATGCGTGGAGAGACAGGGAGAAAGCTCTCTGGCATCTCTTCTTGTAAGTGCACTAATCCCATCGTACCAGAGCTCCACCCTTATGACCTCACTTAACATTAAAGACCCAATCTCCAAGACAGTCACATGGGAAGTTAGGATTTCAACATATGAATTTCGGGTGAACACAGTTTAGTCCATAGCAGACAGCATGCTTTTTTTCCCTCTCTTTAAAATGATTAGATTATATATTACAAGCCCAAAATTACAGTGCATGTGAGATTGAGTTCAGTGCTCCCTGGACTCTGCTTCCTTCAATCATTCATTTATTAAACAGATATCTGTAAAGCACCAACTCTATAACAGGCAATGTTATAGATATGGGGGATTCAGCAGTAAACAAGGAAAGCCATGTCCTTGCTTTCATGGAGCTTACAGTCTAGTGGAGGAACACAGACAATAAGCATGTAAACAAATACATAATGTCACTTCAGGTAGTGATAAGAATTTTGAAGAAAATAAAACAAGGTGATATTAGAAAGCCAGGGGGTTCACTTAAACTATGATAGTCAGAGAAAAGATTCTACAAGGAGTTGGCATTTGAGCTAATTCCTAAATAATTTGAAAGTCTTAATTCCCCATGTGGCTGTATTGGAGATTGGACTAAGGTTAAATGAGGTCATAAGGGTGGAGCTCTGGTATGATGGGATTAGTGCCCTTACAAGAAGAGATGCCAGAGAGCTTTCTCCCTGTCTCTCCACGCATGCACAAAGAAGAGGTCATGAGAAGACACAGTGAGAAAGTGGCTGTCAGCAAACCAGGGAGAGAGGCCTCACCAGAAACCAACCACACTGGCACCCTGATCTGACCTCCAGACTCCAGAACTGTGAGAAAATAAATGTCTGGGTGGTTGTACAAGCCACCCAGTTTATAGTATTTTGTTATGGCAGCGTGTGCTGACAAAGACAGAACCCTAATACAGTTGAACCCATTTCTATTACCCTTGCAGAATTTCATTCTATTTGCCTCCCATTTACTATCTCTAGGGGAAGAGACTCTGACCCCACAGACATTTGTTTGTTTAGGCCTAACCCGAGAATAGTCTGCTCTGAGCGTCTACCCCTGACTCCTTCTTTTTTTTTTTTTTTTTTTTTGTCCTTTTTGAGACCAGCCACACTGCGCTCAGCCAGTGAGCGCTGTGAGCGAACCGGTCATCCCTATATAGGATCCAAACCCACAGTGGGAGCGCTGCTGCGCTCCCAGCGCCACACTCTCCCGAGTGCGCCACGGGCTCGGCCCCCCTGACTCCTTCTTACTTGATATTTGCAGTCAGAGCTCACAAAGCAGCAGAATGGATTCAAAATCACCCTGAAAACATTAGAAGACAACCTGCTTTCTCGCCTCTCTTCAGCATCTGGGAACTTCCTAGAAGAAACGGCCTTGGTGGAAAACCTCGAGATCACCAAGCAGACTGCCACAGAAGTCGAGAAAAAGGTGAAACTGCCCTGGCTAGTCCAGGAAGGCAGCCTAGGCAGGGGTCCTCCAACAGTCTTCTCTCCTCTTAGTCCTTGAGTCTGACTTTTAGAAACAAGTCAGAGTAACAGATAGCTTTTCCATCTTCACAAGTTTCTTCTAGAAAGTTCAGCTAGGCAGAATTCCTGGAATGACTACCTCGCATCCTGTATTTTGGAGTTCCCACCTTATGGAAAATGCTTTTGACATCTTAACTCCACAAACGCTTGATGAGCACTCCAGTCTGTGCATGGCCTCTTTTCTGTGCGGGGAATGGTAGCTCAAATTTGATACCTCAGATGGCTTCTGGGATTGCCCTGAAGCTACAGAATCCCATTGATGTGCGAGTTGACTGCTTCAGGCATGACTGTACCCTGACTAAGAAAACCCACTGGACTGCAAAAATCTCACAAGTCTGATTTTAATAAGAAAACTTCAATGACTTCCTGGGAAATACAGCTCTCAAAAACTGTGTCATCCTGGGAAACAATTATAGTATCTAGCTTCCTTCCTTTATTTCACAGCATTTGGAAGGCTTTTATTCCCCCTGGCAGGGGACTAAAGACATGGCTTGATGGGAAGGGGCCCAACCCCTCACTTCGCCCTTTCCCTGCAGACTTGCGGAACCTACATGTGCCCTTTGCATTCTCAGTCCTGCTCCTGGATCAAAAGAGCAGTTAAGATATTGATTCTGAGCAGGACATAGCATATCAGTAACAGTGTCCAGGAACAATACACCTTCAAAGGAATATACTTATTGCCAGATTATTGGGATTTCTCCAAATAGGAAAGACTTTGTTCCAGGCAGGGACAAGTCAGGAAGATTGAAAAGTAATGACGGACAGGGCAGATAAACCAGGCCAGACCCACTCTGAGATAACAGACAACTCAGCTTGGAGTGATGAGACTGGAAAAAGGAAGGTCCAACCTAGCATTGGCTCAGCGGCTGCTGTGTGGCCACCAGCTTTTACCGCCAGTTCTCTCTGACCGCCACATCTCTAGATGGGACATGAGAGTTTGTAAAGCAATTATGGTGGATGTTCCACTGCCCTGGGCAGGAGAGACAGGGGGACGGAACCCAACCCACACAGAGGGAGGAGGTCAGAGGATGGAATCAACCACATTGGTCTCTTCCTGCGCCCTCAGTCCTTCTCCCTATTCCTTTCCTCTAAAGCCAATGAACGTTTGTTGAGCACCTGCTGTGTGCCAAGTGCTGTATGGAGCCTTTATGCTTATTTTGTTGTTCTTTTTCTTTGGTTCTTTCTCTTTCTCATTCATTTGTTTAATGAATATTTATTTGGAGGCTGCTATATTCTAAGTTTTATGACAAAAGTCAGGGATACAACAAGGAACTTGCTGGAATCCCAGGCTTCTAGGACTTGCCCTCTGAGGGAGAGAGATGAGTAAACAGGAGTTAGAAAACAGAGATTAGGGCTGAGGTAGAGGAAGCACAGCGAGCTGTGCAGAAACGGAGGATAATTCAACCCACATTGGGGGAGAGGGAGGGGATGTCTTCCTCTAGTGTAGCTGGAACATAGAGGGGTGGGGGCTGGAAGTGGTCGCTGGAGATGAGGCATGGCAGGTAGCCTGAGTTTCTGTTGCAAAGGGCTTTGTGAGTCATGCTAAGAAGACTGGGCTTTATTCTGATGGAAGTTGGAGATCATTAAAAAGTTTTCAGTTTTTTCCTTTTTAGACAGGATAGTCACATGAGATCTGTGCTTTAAAAAGATCACTTCAGGGGCCGGCCCGGTGGCGCACTGCTACAGTGCGCCGCTTGGGAAGCGCGGTGGCGCTCCCGCCGAGGGTTCGGATCCCACATACAGACCGGCTGCTCACTGGCTGAGCGAGGTGCGGGGGCAACACCGAGGGTTGCGATCCGTTGCCGGTCACGAAAAAAGACAAAAAAAAAAAAGATCACTTCAGCTACAGTCTGTAGGAGAGATTGGGAATACAGGAGGCAGAGAAAATAATAAGAGGTGCGGCAATTCAGGTGAGAGGTAATGGTGTCCTGAATTAAGGTAGTGGCTTTGGTGGCAGAAAGAAGTGAGCAAATTCAAGGCTGTTAAAGAAGAATTGAATGGCTGGATGGTTAGCTCAGTTGGTGAGAGGACAGCCTTGTAACACCCCGTATCAGCCAGCTGCAAAAAAAAAAAAAAAAAAAAAACCATTGAAAAATTTGCTAATTAATTGGATATGATTATAGATGGATAAAGGAGTAGTTATGAAGAGTCTCGGTTTCCTGGAATAAATATCTGGGTAGGTTTTGATGCCGATCCTTGATGGAAGTGAGTAATAGTAGATTTGGGAGTAGAAGAAAGGGCGGTTTCAGTTTGTGTTGTATTGAGTTTGGAACGCCTTTGAGCCATTCACACGAGAATGTCCCCTAAGTTTGGGGGTATATGGTCTTGACCAACAATAGGGTACTGAGAGTCATCAGCAAGTAGTTGATTATTGAATCATTAGGGGTGGGTGACATCACCTAGGAGATGTCTATGCAATGATAAGACTGAGAGGAGAGCACTGAGGACTACTAACACATTTTAAAAGAAGTACGGAAGATGCATAACATGGAGTAGAGGAGACATGAGAGGAAAAGCAGGAATATAAGTTATTATGAAAGAAAGCATTTCAAAGAGAAGGGATGTCAGCATCACTGGATGATGCTGAGAACTCAAATAAAGGATGGCTGAGATGTGTCCATTGAATTTTGCAGAAAGGAGCTATCAATGATCTTGATGAGGTAGTGGAGGCAGAAGCCAGACTGCATTAGAATGAGAATTGAGAAAGAGGAAGTGAGTATAGATGGCTCTTCAAAGAAGCCAAACCATGAAATGGTAGAGAGAAAGGAGGACATAGGATCCTTGGAGGCTTTTTACTCTGAGATGAGACATGAGCATGCTAAGATCCTAGCTGGGGATGGGAAGATGCATGGATTGTAAAAGAAAAGAAGCAGCTGAGGAGAAGATCTGAATTTACAGAAATGAAAGGAAATGGTTAATTCAGCAGGATGCATAAGAAAGTTAGGGGAGACTTAATTCAGGTCACAGATGAAAAGCTTATATTTAGAAAAATGGAGAGGCCCTATCCAATGTGATAGGGGATAAGGAGCACACTTGAGTCTCGAAATGGGACATGGGTCCATGTGGGCAACTGGAGTAGAGGAACAGATAATTAATGGAATGTAGGGGGAGGCAGAAATTAAAGTAGCTCCTTCCCAATGATCTCTAAATAATCTGTGAACAGATGAACCACATTTATCTGCTGAGAGTGAGGGAATGGTTGTGAGGGAGGGGACTTGGGAAAGTAGCGATAGTGTACAATAGTTATTGTGGAAAATGGAATGAAAGTTGACCAGAGTCATGGACATTAATGAACAGCAAGCATTAAGGACTCAGGTGAGGTTGAAGACTATGAATCTGTGATAACAACAACTCAACCAGGGCTGGCTGGTTAGCTGTGTTGGTTAGAGCTCAGCCTTATAATAGCAAGGTTATGGGTTTGGTCCCCTTTCTGGCCATCTTCCAAAAAAACAAAAAAGCAATTATGTGATTTTTATTCAGTTCCACCCCTTCTAAGAATCTTTTTCTTCCAACTACTGAATTTAACCAATTTACGTTTATTAACATTATTGATACAGTAGAATTTCTTTCTACTATCTTAACCAAACTTTTTATTTTTTCTTCTTCCTTGATTTTCCTTATCTCCCTTCTTTTATCCTTTACTGACATTTAAGCTATTCATTCTATTTTATTTTATCAATTAACCTTGTTTCATTTATATATGAAAAAATCTATTTCATTTTCTATATGTGAGTTAAAAATATATATACTTGTACATGTGTGTATACATATACACATATATACTTCACAAAACCTGAAATTAAGCAATGTATCTAGCCTCTTCCAAAACAATGTAAGGACTTTAGAGTTCTCTAACTCTGATTATTCCCTTCCATGTCCTGTTATTGTTTTATGATATATTTTACGGCTCTGTTGTTGGTATTGAGAATATGCTTGCATTCTAACTGCTCTTCCTTTTTAGGTATCTCACCTTTTCTTTCTGGTTGCTTTTAATATTTTCTCTTTATCTTTAATATTCTGAAATTTTACTATGTAGTGAGAATTTATCTTTTATTTATCATACTCAAAAGCGATATGTTTCTTCAAAGTAAAGGCTCTGGCCTTTTGTAAATCTTGGAAAATTCTTAAATGCTGTTGCTTCAAATATTGCCTCTTTCTCATTCTCTCTATTCTCTACTTATTTCTGTTAGATGTATTTTAAATCTGTTCATTATATCTGCCAAGTTTCATAATCTCTTTTATGCATTTTCCACCTGTTTCTATCTGAGCTGTTCTCATAACAATTTTCTCTTATTTCTCTTCTAGTTCGCTTATCCTCTTTTCAACTTTAGTTTACTATTTAACTACTTACTATTTAACTAGGAAGAGTACACTTTCTTCACTTAAATAGCTGTATTCTTATTTTTAGAAGTTCTAGTTAGTTCTTTTTCAGATACGCTAGTTCTTTCTTATTATGTCCTTGTTTTATGATTTCTTTTATATCTACTGCTCTTAAACATACTTAGTTAAGGGTGAGTTTTAGGTCACTCAGTAACCTTTAGTTCTTGGTGTGCTAATTCTTTTGGGGTTTGGGGGGGTTGTTTTTGTTTTGTTTTGTTTTTAGAAGGAGTCCTCTAACTGTCCCTTTTGATAATACTTCCTCCTGTAGTTTATAATTGTTTATTGTGAGAATATCTTCAATAAAGATAGTTGCTTTTTCCTTTCAGAATCTCACAAGTTGTCAATAGTTTTACTCTGTTTTGGAAAATAAGGGCAGAGCACATTGAGGATTGCATTTAGTAGCATGTTCTTACAGAAATCCCTCTTCCTGATGCTTACGTTTCCTTTCCTATGTTTACTTGTGATAAGAATTTTCTGAAAATGAAATATTCCATGGAAAGAGATTTTCTTTGTGAACTTATATATTAACCATTTTATAAACATTAAGAAAAAAGAAAATTATACTATGCTTCTTCCCCTGGATTTCCACTGCTTGGCATTCCAGTTCATTTTCAAGTAACATATTTTTTGCATTTCCACAAAATTTTTCTCATTAGAGATGGAGCCTAGAGGCTGGCATGGCCCACACTTCCCAACAGGAAGAGCTGACGCCCTCACCTTCTGAAAGACTAGAAGCGTATCATCTTCTGCATTCAAGCTCTGTTAAGGAATATCACAGTAGCAATTCAACCCTCTACCCACTATCCCTATCCCAACTTGGTCCACCCCAAACACAGATACACATCTGCTCACACAGAGAGGTCAAGTTGGTTCTCAGGAAGCCCTGGTTGGTTTGAACAATGGACTGCTATTTATTTTTCCAACAGGTCCAGGAGGCCAAGGTGACTGAAGCACAAATCAACGAGGCCCGAGAGCACTATAGGCCAGCAGCTGCCCGAGCCTCTCTGCTCTACTTCATCATGAACGACCTCAGCAAGATTCACCCCATGTACCAGTTTTCTCTCAAGGTGACTCACACCTGGAGTTTTCTACATAATCGTAATAATGTGGTATAACATTGCCAATGTAATTCTCCATGAGAGCTTATCCATATGCTTCATTAGCTATGGCAGGTCTTTAAGATAAAGCCAGGAGAGCAGCTACGTTGCCTTCAGATCTATATCACAGTCTTTATCACTTTAATTGGGCCTTACATGACTAATTGGTAACTGTGTTACTCAGGATTCTCCAGAGAGACAGAAGCAATGAGATATGCATATAGATACATGAGAGGGGATTTATTAGGGGTATTGGATCACATGATTATCAAGACTGAGATGTCCCAAGATAGGCCATCTGCAAACTGGAGACTCTGGGATGTCAGTAGCATGGCTCAGTCCAGGTTGGAAACCCTCAGAACCAAGGAAGCTGATGATGTAATTCTCAGTTTGAGGCCAAAGACCTGAGAACCTGAGAGTCCTGCTAATGTAAGTCTTGGAATCCAGAGGCTGGGGAGCCTGAAGTTCTGATGTTCATGGACAGGAAGGTAGAGTGTATCCCAGCTCTCGCAGACTGAGAGGTAAATTTGCCTTTTCTTCTGTTTTTGTTTTCTCCAGGCCCCCAGCAGATTGGATGGTGGCCACCCCACATTGAGGGTGGATCTTTACCACCTAGCCCACTCAGGCTTGTATGCTAATCTCCTGTGGAAACACCCTCACAGTCACACCCAAAAATGATGATTTACAAGGTTTCTAGGTATTCCTTAACCTAGTCAAGATCACACCTAAAGTTAACCATTACAGTAACTTTGGCTGGAACAGAAGGATAGGAGTAGGAATTAGGATTAACCCTACAAGTCTCAGCCTCATTCACTCAGTAAGCACATTTGATATGCTTACCGAATGTGTGGAAGAGGATACCAAAGAAATATGAGAAGTAATCTTTGTCCCCAAAGAGCCATCAAATGTAATAGAGATGATCAAATGTGCATATCATTTGTTTTGATTAAAGACCAAAGCAGGCAATAATAATAGACCAATTTTAAATTTCTTTTCATATTACCCTAATATCCTCAACGCTACTGCTTTATGCTTGTTGAAATATTCCTAAAACTAAAGATGTTAACAAATTGTAAGTGCTGACTACACTTATCTTACTCATGAAAAAATAAAGACCTATAAATTTTAAGTACATCTCTGAAAGTACATCTTTCTCCCCTAGGGCATTCACCAAAAGACCGCTATTGAAGAAGCATCAGGAGGTGGTGAAGCATTTCTGAACAATTTCTTTGGTTGGACCCAACACACAGAGAAGACTACATACACTTGCAAAGAGATAGGAGAGGGAGAGAGAACGTGTGCATATAGACGCACAAAGACTTCACACACACATACATACGATACATCCACACACACACACACAAATGTATAACGTACATATATGGAGCCCACACCTCAGTCCTGTGAAGTATTTCCAGCTGAACAACCATTTGGAGGACAAGGTGTGGGGATGGTGAGGAGCTGCTGAGAAATCAGAGGCCCTTCAGTAGCTGGGGCTCATTTAACTAGCAATGTCATTTCTCCATTTCCCAAACCCTTGCCTTTAACTCAGAGTGTCTACAAATTGGATGAACTGCATTTATACGTGTGTGTGTGTATTTTTTTTTTTTTTTTTTTTTTTTGTTTTT